AGAGTTTATATGAGTATATAGTGACACAATAGATGACAGCTCTGTCACGTGGGGTCACCATGTGTCATAATCTACTGGCTGGCACACACAACAATAACAACACTGTGGTGTTACTTCAGAGCTCCCAGTGGAGGCGTGTGGAGTGGGCAGGCAGACTGTTTGGGGACTACCCATCTTCTGACAGAAAAGGGCTACTTCATGGGCTTGGGAAGGAGACGGATATTTTTAATTCCGATAGATTCCTCGCTGGTTTGAATATAGTCTTCATCTTTAAGAGATAAGTTTCTGAATATGAGGCATGCTGGTAACCATAGCAGTGAAATGGGGGTGTGTGTGGGAACAATGCACTTGATAGCGTCATGGAAAATGCATTTTAGCACTTAATCATTCTGTTTACTTTTTGGTTTGCTTAATTTTGGATACAGATTTTAAAACATTGCTGATTTGACCTAATGTCAAAATACATCCTATAATTTAATAAGTCATATCACTTTTTAAAAAAGAGAATATTGTCATTATTTTTGGTTTAAATTTTGCTTTTATAAAGCAATCTTAGTAATATAAAATGATATAAATTCAAGGATTTTGTATTTTTTGATAGGTAATTTGTGAAAGAAGCAAAACCAAATCTGTGGAATTGAAGGAGCAGATCAGAGAATATCTGCAGGGTAAGTGCGGGCCCCCAGTGCCCCATGCTTGGGACCTGTTGTTGGAGGTCCGCACCTGGCCAGGGCCGAGGCTGGACCATGTTTGCGGGGGTTCTTGGCTCGGCTCAGGCAAAGGCGTCAGAACCCACCACATATTGACCTCAGGTTTGTTACGTGTGAGTGAGTGTTTTTTTACTATGGTTGCCTATAATTTTTACAATGAACGTGTGGTACTTTCATAAGTAATTAAAAGTCTAAATTGTAGCAAAAGCATTTGTTGTTAATTGTTGTCGAGTCAGATCTGACTTACAGCGACCATGTATATATAGGGTTTCTGAGAAGCAGCTGATGAGTTTGAACCTCTGGCCTTGTGGTCAAGTACTTACCCTGCAGCACCATACCGGACTCTAACAAAAGTGTTTCAAAACGAAAAGCTCCCCAACACCTGTTTCTTTTGGTGAGCCCCCTCCCTGTAGTGGTCAGCAGTCAGTGATCGTGGCCAGCGATGGGTGGTCAGGGTAAACTGGTGAGGAGGTAGGAGGAGGCTTCATCCAGGACGTTACAGCACTTCATCTCTGGGTTCTCCATTCTTCCAGTCACAGTGTTTTCTGATTCCAGATGAGTGCAGAGATGTGCGATACAAAAGGAATAGGGAAATAGAGGGGCAGAAAAATGTAGCTTTTCACTGTATGCTAACCCTCTTAGTCCTTCTGCCTGCTGGGAGGAAAGTGATTTTCCTTACAGACAAGACAGTGAGCTCTTCAGACTGAGCATGTTCCCTCCAGTACACACTGAGGAACCATGAACTGGCCCATCGGGCTCTGGGCTCCAGGCTGAGTTCCTTTTTATTATTAATTTTAAAGTCCACTTACAAAGTGCCAGAGAAAATGAAATGTGTGGTTTCTTATACTGCTTCCCCAGATGCATGCCATATACAATGGGGGGACAGGTCACCATGAGCAGGACACTCAGCCACACCTGTCTTCTCCACTTTAGGTCACTACTACGTACCGCTGCTGCGAGCAGAGGACAGATCTTCTCCAGTGATTGGGGAACTGTGGTCCTCAGACCAAACCGCTGAGATGCCACCTACTGGCCGTTTTGGGGGCAGCCCTCGCGACCCCATTCTGACCCTGAGAGCCTTCGTGGGGCCCTTGAGTCCATCCAAAGTAAGCTGCTGTGGACGCTACAGAACCTCTCCCAGGCGTCCACACAGCATGGTGCTTGGTGCTTGGTCTCAGAGAGCACTTCTGTGGTGCCCAGACAGCCATTCAAAGTGAGAGCATCGAAACATTGGCTGGTGTCCTCCATACCCTGACTACATGGCTGCCTTGTTGACTTGGGAGGTGCAGTGGTGAGCCTGGGTCTGTCAGCAGGGTGTACAAGGCTAGCCCTGACTCTCAGCTGTGAAGTCCGCCCAGCCTAGCCAAGCTGTCTTTTCCAGTGCCTTCACTCATCAAACTAGGTCACCATCTGGGCTGTGGCTCCCTATAGCTTATCTTGTCCAACTGCTTGGAGCCGTTGGCACTGAGCCATGTCACTGTGTCCAGGCCTCAGCCCTGTGAGTTCACAGTGTGCCTGCTGCTCAGAGGCTCTGTGGACAGTTCAGGTCATGTGACAGTGCAGTTCCCCTCCAGTTGCAGGTTAGATTCATTGACTTGTCTGTGGTCTGTCCTCATATGAAAACCCCCCAAAAGAATCAGTCATCTGCAACTATAACGGTACCTCTAAAAACAGGTGGTATCTTTTAGGCTTAGAGTTAGTTGCATAAAACATAAGTTATTTTTCTTGAGTGTGATAGGAAGAATGAATGGAGGGAGGGATCTTCGGAGCCCCGTCTTTAGGGAGGTCCACAGGCAGGGAGAAGGATCTTTCCTTTCTAAGACATCTTTCCAAATGTCCATCCACCTGCTGCTGGGTCAGGTAGTTGGGTGGTAGTGGAGAGGCGTGGGTGACAGGTTCTCTGACCTGGAGGAGGAAGAGGAAAAGGCCAGGACACTAGGTGACGTGGAGTCGTCTCCACAGCAGTGACTGTTGGCATGCTGTGACACGCATCTCATGTTTTCTTAACAGGCAGAAGGGTTCCGCAAACTCTGGAAAACTCCACCCCGGGAGAAAGCAGGTTTCTTCCATAACGTCAGGAAATCCGATCCAGAAAGAGGCGTTGAGAGAGTCGGGAGGTACTTAGTGGGCTAAATGTATATATTACTGAGGGCGTGTCCTATGATGCTCTGCACTGGGGCAGAGTTTTGATTGGCTTGGTGTTGGTGGGACAGCTGGGTTGTTGTTGTTTTTATGTGCCATGGAGTTGGTTCCGACTCATAGCGACCCTGCATAGGGTTTCCGAGGCTGTAAATCTTTAATGGGAGCAGAAAGCCTCATCTTCCTCCTGCGGAACAGTTGGTAGTTTCGAACTAGTGACCTTGCAGCTCACAGCCTGATTTGTCACCACTATACTAGAAAAGCAATCACTGAAAAGTGTTTACCCTAAATTCAAGAAGCTGAGTGAAGGTGTATATGTGAATGGAGCTTCAGTGAATGGTGTAGAACCTGTTTTCAAAATATGCGCACAGCTTCCGGTTTAAAGCTGACCAGGAAAGGGCTCTCACTTTTTACAGCCAAAGCCACAGTTCTGTTCGCCTTTATGCTGTGGTGTGTCAGAACCAGTGCGTCTGTTTGTGGACCGGTATTATTGGATGTAGTTCACCTCACTCTTCACAGGACTCTTTTCTCTCCATAACACAACGGAGGAGCTGCTAGGCTCCAGAGCCGTGCTAGGAGGAGCGTGCGTTCAGGAAACACAGATTCCTTCAGCCATTCAGGATCCAATAAGCTTGTAGACAGTGTTGGGCGTTTCTAGCATAGACTGGCTGTTTTCCATGTATTGAGTTCTGTAATGTCTCTTCTGCTTTCACAACTGATGGATTTTGTTTTGTTTGTTACAGGGACTTAGCGCATGACCTGGGGTACCCCTGGGGTGAATACTGGGAATTCCTGGACTGTTTTATTGATCTGTCTTCCCAGGAGGGCCTTCAGAAACTAGAAGAATATCTCACTCAGCAAGAAATGCATAAAAAGACCCAACACGAAGCAGGAGAAAACGAAGCCCGTCTCCAGGACAGAACTTCCGCCTCTGGTGAGGGCTTGGGCTGTGTGCTGGCCAGACCAGGCAGTCTCTGGTGTATGTGGTAAAACTAATTTGTTCTTATTCAATTTCCATTACTAACATCAAGAGCAAGACAGTATTCTTTGTGCTGTTATATTTTTTAAAGTTCTTAAGTAATTTTTCTAAATAGAGCCTATATTTGAATACTTCCCATATTTTCAGGAACGACTAGGAGTACCCATACCACAGTATTGTGTAATTAGCAGATGTCAGAGTGCTGAGGACTTTTGAAGCACAAAACAGAAATGGAAAGATTGCAATGGAAGAGGTTACATTTGACTTACGTCCAACTTAAAACTAATTCATGAGGGCATGAACAACACCATTTAAAAAAGAAAATTAGCAACACTTGTTTCGACTCAAATCGACCCTGTATAGGGTTTCCGAGGAGTGGCTGGTGAGCTTGAACCACCGACCTTGTAATTCAAACCAACCTTGCAGTCCAGGGCATTAGCCTGCAGCACCCCGCCAGGATTCCTCTCTGAGCGTTTTTGTTGTAAGATTGTTGTTAAGTACAGTGGAGTCTGTTCTGACTCATAGTGACCCTTGCATAGGGTTTCTGAGGCTGCAAATCTTAACGGGAGCAGAAAGCCTCATCTTTCTCCCTCGGAACAGCTGGTAGTTTCGAACTGCCGACCTTGAGGTTAGCAGCTCCATTCATAACCGCTATGCTACCAGAGCTCCTTTTATTGTGAAATAAAAAGGCAAAAATGCCCTCAAGCAAAATGGGCAAAGGACAGATTCTTCAAAGGAAATAAAAGCATGCTTAGTGGTATTAATAACAAAGAAATATACCTTTAAAACTCAGTTGTTGTTGTTAAGTACCATCGAGTCGATTCCAACCCATAGCAGCCCTGTATAGGGTTTCCAAGGAGCAGCTGGTGAGCTTGAACCACCAACCTTGCAGGTCCAACTGACCTTGCAGTGCAGCACATTAACCCACAGCATCACATGACATGGATTTGTAATGCAGAATCCATATTAGTGCAGAACGCCCATCTTACGTTAGATTGTTGTCAAGGGCCATTGAGTCAGTGCTGATGAATAGTAAGTAACCCTCCATAATGTTTCTGAGCAGTGACTGGTAGGTGTGAACCGCCAAACTTGCCTTAGCAGTCAGAACTGAGCCTAAGCTAGAGTGGTGGTGGTGGTGGTGTGCTGTGGTGACCTCGCATAGGGTTTCTGAGGCTGTAAATCTTTACCGGAGCAGAGCAGCAAGCCTCATCTTTCTCCGGCAGAATAATTGGTAGTTTTGAACTGCTGACCTGGAGGTTAGCAGCCCGACTCGTAAGCACCACACTCCCAGAGCTCCTGACACTTGAGTAGTGACGGAGCTCGAAGTTCGAGGAACTTCACACAGCACGGTTCCGTCTGAATTGACTTGTTTGTGTCTCTACGGCTGCTCCGGATGGGTCCCCATGCTGGATTGAGATTGAATTAATATTAAGAAAAGTTAGTTCTTCAGTCATTGGGGTCAGATTTCAAGGACTCGGTGGCCACTGACTGGGATAGCACAGGTCACTTTCCTTGGGCAGCACTACTCCGAAGCAGTCCTGGGTGCTGTCGAACAGTTCCACCTCATGGACTTGGTCTTCAGGGTCCCTAGAGGGTGTCAGGTACTCAGTGTCCCCTTCTCCAGCAGATAGAGGCAGGATGACTGAGGATTCCCATGGTGGGTCACCCCTGCAGGGAGACAGCGTGCTTCTCTCCAAGGCATATGGTGCCTTTCTGTCTGGACACCTCATGGGCTACAATTACAGCCTAATAGTACTCAGACCTTCTTTGTGTTGTTCACAGACAATAGTAAAAGATGCAGCAACTCCATCTCCATGGGGGCATTTCTAGATGAAGACGAGGACATGAGCTTGGAAGAAGTTAAAAATTGGCAAAATGCAGCTCGAAATGCCAGCCTGCCCACTTCTGAGGCCTCTGGAAACATCCTCCCTGTGGGGCAAGATGGGTACCTCCCAGACATCTTAGATGCTAGTGGCACACACGGTGGCAGAAATGGCTTCTGTGGTCCTCTGAGTCAGGCCAGGCCCCGGAGGGGGAAGAGGTCAGTGTCCCACACTGGGGAGGGCTCCCTCCTCTCCCCTGTCTCCAGTTTAACTGTTGAATTTGATAAACTGAATCTACAAACTCTGCAAAGTAACCTTTGTAAGACTGCTAGCACCAAAGAAACTAAAGATGAGATCATCCGGACTTCAAGAACAGACTCAGTGGGAAGTGATTTGTTAGAACCTACTGGTGCTGCTGCCCAAGAGCTCGGGGCTAACAAAGCCAGGACGGACCGTGAGATGTCAGCCGAGATTGCAAGCATGACCCTAGATCCCGACTGTTGCATGCACAAGGCCCCGTGTAGCTGCAGCTGTGCGTCTTCGGAGCCAGCCACCATGCTCTTCTTGCTCGGGTAGGAAGGTGGTGCCTTTGTGTGTGTGTGTGTGTGTGTGTGTCGGGGTGCTGCTTAAATGTTCTTTCCACACTTGGACTTGCACTTGCAGCCACCTCATTGTGGGAGTTTTATATCTCCTGAATATTCCTTCCAGTACCTCAAAGTTGGTAGGCTGTGCCCGGTTTCTAATGGCACCCACTCCTCCGTGTCATGGGGAGGCTTTGCCTCGGTCCCTGGGCAACATGAAGTCCCTACCTAGGGTGCTTACTGCCCTCAGTTACAGCCTCATTGAATCTGCCGGCTGAGGGACTCAAGAGTGTCTGGCCATACCCACAGCAGACTCCTTATGTCTAGTCCCACCCCTGACCCAGCTGGCCCTCGGGAGGCCTGTGCCCTTGGTGTGCTTGAGGAGTGGGACCATACTAGTGGACTCTTCAGTGCCACATCCTTGGGCTCAGTCAATCACCCTGTCATGCTAGGTGTGCATGTGTCCCTAGTGAGGAATTTAGTGGTGGTCTGGAAGTTTGTATTGTATACTCAGAGATGGTTTGGGTTTTTTTCTTTTCCCTTTTATCATGCACTCTAGAAAAGAACCATCGAAATTGGACCGGGATGTGCTGGCTGCCCTCGAGAGTGCGGACATTGATCCTCGTCAGTATCCGGCTGTCTTCAGGTGGAAGGATGCTGTTCTGGCCTATTCACCTTCAGACAGACAGAGGTACTGCAGCCCTAGCAAGCGCTGAGGTGCTTCTTGTGTGTCTACCTGGGCAGGCTAGAGTCGTATTGGTCAGCCCAGCAAGGGGCAGCCGCCCAGCCCAGGTGCTATGGGGCCCTGACTCAGGGGCTGTGAACAGACTGCCTCCAGACGCTGCCCTGTGGAACCATTTCACGTTCCAATCCTGGGGACCTTGGACAGGCACAGACCCGGGTTTGGAAATCTTGCTGGTTACAGGTCAGGCAGTGGACCAAAAGGTCCCTGCTGTAGGCTCCACAGAGTCCAAGCCCTCATCTTCGGCTCTGCATGTTCATTGCCCTGCGCGCCAGCCGACTCCTCACCCACTTGCCCCTCACCCTCTCACCCAACAGTCCCTCACCTACCTGCCCCCCTCACTGGGTCATTGTTTGCTTCCAGATTTGCAGAACTAGAATAACACGTTTCTCTTGGTTTTCCCTAGTTGGCCGAGCCCTTCGTTGAAAGGACTCTTCAAGTCTCAGCGGCCAGATCTCCGTTCTGCCCACAGCTGCAGCTTGGGAAGATGCGGACCTGCTGCCGGCAGCCCTGGGAAGCCCAGTGTCTCTGTTCCTGGCCTGGGCAGCCCCCGGCGGTATAGTCCTGTGCACAGAGGCCACCTCCGCAGGATGGCTGAGCTGGCAGCCTTGTAAGATCAGGTGCTTTTTATGGTACAAAGAGAAGAGTGATCTGTTTATTGCTAAATTACACACACAAAAGTATTCTAATTTATTAACCCTCATTTTGAGGGTAAAAGGATTTTAGAAAATAAAATGTTCTGTATTCAGTTTAGAGTTCTAAAATTTGGGGACAATTTGAAAGTGAACTCAGATGCAGATTTCCAGGAAAATAACACTATGGTAATGGCAAGTGTTTCAGTTAGCAGGTTCTAGTTTTCAAGTGTAACAAGGGGCTAACACAGCTCTCCTGAGGGTTCTGGACTGTTGCACGTGATTTAAAAATCCCGATTGCGTTTTTCCATCTAATCCTAGCTGGTCTGATGAGTTGGCGGAAAGGAATGGAAAGCCTGACTCTATCTTAAACTTGAAACAAAATATTAAAATAACTGATTGGAAGGTAAACCTTTGACTTTTCTGCTGAAGACATCTACCAACCATTGCCAAGACTGACCAGCAGAAGTCTCCAGCAGTAATGAACGATGTTGTCTTTCCCACCAGCACCAGAACCCCCTAGTCAACTTGCCTTGGTTACCAGTATGGACCTCTAATTGTTCCTTGGTTTTGATATTTATTCTAAGGATCCACTGAAGATAAAAGTAAAGGTTTTTTTTGTTTTTACCAGGGTTTGAGTCCCTGTTCTAACCTTTCTCCTGGGTGATCTTTCGGAACGCCTGTCACACCGGGTATGCAAGAACAGGATATACGCTCGAGTACCCCATTGCATCTGCCAGGAGGTCGACTTTGTCACTGGTGTTATATAAAGTGGCTGCATTTACAAAGACTTCCTAAAGACAGTGATTAAAAAGTACTAACGGAACTATTGCTTTTACTAACTTCAGTGCCTTTCGTAAATCACTTAAAATGTTTCTGTACTTTTTGAGAATCTACAGTTGACACTAGGCAGAAGCAAGATTCTTTTTCCCTTTTAAAAATTCTTAGTTGAAATGTACGTAAAAACACGTTTCTCTCACATGCCAAGAGACAGGCCATGAACACTGAAATGAAGATTTAGATTGACGATTGTTACATAAGATTCTATCGTTTGTTGTATAACAATCGAACATACTACAGAAGTAATACAGTGGCGTTTTTAAATGTTGTATTTTCAGAAGAAATTGGGGTACAGATCTTCAGAGAACTCAAACACAGTTGGCCCTCGGTATCCAAACGTTCTGCATCCTTGTAGTGAAAGTATTTGGGGAGAGTTGGGGAATGGCTGAAGTGGTCAAAAGCTAAGAGGGAGGTGAAGTGCTGTTGATAGCTGGTTTGCATTGTAAGGAATCCAGAGATGATCCGGAGTATCCTGTTAAATTGGGCACATGGACTACGCCATGTTATGTAAGGAAGACACTTGAGTTTGATGTCTGTAGAGGCCGATACTGAGGGACAACTATATTGCTTCATCCTTGATTTCTCAGTCTGCTGGTCCTGTTTTCTGTTGTTTGGACCACTTTTTGATCACTTCTGATTTGTACCAGGTGTGCATACTGAAGAAACACGGACGAAACCTATCTGTGGGCAATTTATGTTCTTTATCAAAGTACATAATGAAGTGACATTTTGTATCTTACTGATAATCATTCTAAGCACTCAGAAGAATTTCTACCTATGCCTGGGCAGAATGTGCCTTTTTTCTATTATAAAATCTTTAGTATTTTGAAGCACGTTAATTAGACGGTGAATTGCTTTTTGTTCTTTTCTAACACATTTGTTGACAAACCATTTCTGGTATCTTCTAAACTAGCACAGATTGCACAAGCACTCCTATGTGGGAAAGACTTTTTATTGAGATTAACAAGTGACCAGATAATTCTTCCTTTTGAAATAAGGGCTATCCTGAGTTCTCCTCTATAGTGAAGTGACCCTGATCTACTATGTCATTCTTTTATAATGAGTTCTGTGACTAGGGTATGGATAAGCTGAGAAGTTCCTTAATCAAGGGGGACACCCTCAGCACCCTGTGGCCAGGCTAGTTATAAGACCACACACAAGTCCTCTTAATAATTTCTGGTGGTTCCCAGAAAGTTTCACAGCTTTCAGAGGTGTTGGTGTATAAGCATGGAGACACTGACTTTCTATGATACAGTATCAATACTGCTTGGGCAGTGGCTTTGTGTTCTGGCTGGGATATTAAGCCAAACACTCCCCCACATCACAGGACAGCCCTCCTCACAGCGGGGATTGAATATTGTGCAGAACTCAAGGAAAGGGCCTCCTGGTACAACCACCCCAGACACAGGCCAGGGCGACCCTTGCCACACTCTGCAGGCTTCCTGCTATCTCTGAAACATACAGTTGGTGTTTCCACCAATAGGCAAAAAAGTAAAATAAAATTTTATTATGGAATTATTTCCAAAGTTGACAAACAGATCAAATTTTCCAGTAGCATGATTGCAGAAAATGTTTACATAATTACTTCATAGAAATTGTGGATTTTCTAAATTAATATTTGGGACAGTTCATGTCTAAATAAATAAGCATCAAAGATTAGCAGTAACCAGAGGCAAAGTGACAAGGCTAAGCCTGCAGCTGAAGATACTAACATAGCAATCACTGCATGTGACTTTCCTGTCACTAAGCCAGCGTTAAATGCCAGCATGTCACGTGTCACCCCTATGGCCTCTTCCACGGGACCAGCGTGGCCAAAGGCAGCCTCAGTACACCCCCTTCCCCACAGGTATCCTGGGAAGTGTATGGGTGTCTTTGTAGCTCTGAGGGTCTAACAAAGTTCAACTCACCCGTCCATCTCAGGGATCTATGACCCTGGAGTAAGAAACTGGCTTTCAAAGGAAGAATCTTAGATGAGGAAAGTGTTAAGTGACAAATTACAAAGCAAAGAGAAACTATGAAGTAAAGGAGAATAGGGACTGCCACTCCAGCCATCCCTGAGTCTCAAAAAGAGGGTGGTCCACTGCTGGTGTCGCCATGAAAGACCCCTCGGTAAAAGCTGTGCACAGGCCCATCCTCAGGTCTCATGTGATCTCCAGACAGGCCAACTTCTGGCTGGGAAACGTCCACATCACACCCAGGAGGTGAAAGCCTGGGCAGCCAGGAGGTCCCATTCCCTGTTCATTCCAGAGGACAGGCAAATGCTGAAATGCAGCATTTCAGACAGTTCTTATTTTCTGTAGGAAAACGATGCTGAAACTCAGCCTGTGTAGGCAGGAGGAGGGATACCCACATGCTTGTGGCCTCCAAGGCCCTCAGGACCGGGTGATCTTGTCTGGAGGCATGAAACCTGTGTCCCCAAGGGTCCTTAACGCGACCCTGCCATTGGGTCGGATCACCAGGTGGGTAATGCTGCCATTGTTGAGGGAAAGACGGAGCCAGCCTTCGGGTGGAAACTGTAGGGCTCTTAAGGAAAGAGAAAAGGCATGTGAGTGGGCGAAAGTGATGTTCTTTGTCAGGACACACAGGAAGCTGTTAGCATCTCTTCACTTTTTCCCACCACCTGGGGTCACTGAAGGAGTTAGGGGTACTTGGCAAAGCTAACAGCCACCCCAAAGTAAGAAGATCTCTATCTCAGGGCTGAGAGAGCATGGGTCAAAGGTTCCATTTTCAAACGAATTCTGAGGAAAGCTGGCTGGAGAAACGTGAGCCATATTACCAACATAGTACTAGATTGTAACCCACACTAAATTACCCATGAGTCCACACTGACACAAATAATTAAATACATGTGATGAAAACTGAAGACACGTTAAGACAGTCCAGTGGACTAATGGCCCGTGTGGACCTCCGTCTCTATGACCCTGAAACCAGAACTTGATGGTGCCCGGCCACTTATGCCAACTGCTCTGAAACGGATCATATTAGAAGGTCCTGGAGAGCGTGGAACAAAACTCAAAATCTTGAAAAAAAGACCAGGATTCTGATCAGTAGAACCCTGCTGGGCACTACGGGCCTTGGTCAGCCTTCAGCTCTGGAACTGCACTCACCCGTGACTCCATTTTCAGCCAGATAATAGTTTGGAGGTAAGGGGGGGGGCATTAGTGCAGTTGGTACACACACTAATTAGAATGGTCAGTCATTTGATATAAAAGGGCAGAATTTAAAGAAAAATTTCAAAACAAAGGGGAAAGAAACAGGGAGAGGTGAGAAGTGATTTTTGAAAGGAAGTGTATGATGTGTGGAATATAAAACATGAACTGCTCTGGTAGCCTTCACTCAATTCACAGTAGAAAGTTGGAAACAAAACCAGGTCTTTCTTAGCAAAGAACTTTCAGTACTCAACAAAGAACTACCACTATTCAACAGATGGGATGAAGGGAAGCAGTCCTGGACCAACATCAGAGCAGATGCTGACGTGCTGGAGGATGCGGCAATCAGTCACAGGTGGAGACTTGAGAAATGGGAGATTAACACATCTTCAAATCTCCAAGATGTTTATCATTTAATTACAAAAGAGGGAAACAGTAACTTCACAGTGAGAAAGCTAACAGCCATGCTTACCTGGGTGATCCCCTGACACAATGCCCCAAGGAGGCAGATCACCCATGCATCTTCCTATCCAAGAACACCAAACAGAGACATTCCAACAATGCTACGGGATTCTCACCCCAAGTGTTGGGTTATGCAAGGAACAGCTGAGGTCATCCCGACCAGCGGAGCCCGAGGTGACGTGATGTTGGAATGCAGTGCAGGGGCCTAGTCCCAGCATGGCCATTAACAGACCAGGTGTCTACCTGTGCTAAGTTTCCCGGTGTGTAAATTGTTAACCCACAGGGTTTTGTCAGAGGAGTACGTGTCAACTTTTTATATGGTTTCTGTTATTTTTCTCTGGTGGTTAACTGCTGTCAAGTCACTTTCGACCCAAAGCGCCCCTGTATAGGGTTTCCAAGGAGCAACTGGTGGGTCTGAATTGCTGATCTCAGTGTGGCACTGCAGGATAAACAATGAACTACCACCACAGGTTGGCAGTTTAAACTCACCTTAGAAACCCTATACAAGGTTGGTACGAGTTGGAACCAACT